GGAGACTATCCAGAAACAGACTGACCAAGATCGAGTGCTAGCGGAAGCCATGGGGTATGTTACCGAGGGCTCATGGCCGAAGATAGACAGAGAAAGTCATCTTTTCCCGTTATACACAAGACGCGAGAGTCTATCAATCGTCAACCGATGTTTAATGATGGCCGATCGCGTGGTGGTACCAACGCCATTAAGGAAAGAAACTCTGATCCTACTACATGAAGGTCATCCGGGAATTTCCAAAATGAAGGCACTCGCCCGAAGTCATGTTTATTGGCCAGGAATCGATGCGGATATCGAGAGCTTGGTCAGGCGGTGCGAGGATTGTCAGCTGGCGGGGAAACTCCCTCTCAAAGTCCCTCTTGCTGATTGGGAACCCTCCTCTTGTTGGTCAAGAGTACACGCAGACATTGCTGGGCCCCTTCGAGATCAGTATTTCCTGGTCATCGTCGATGCCCACTCGAAATGGCCGGAGGTCAAAATTCTGAAACAAGCTACGTCGGAAGCTATCTTAGCTGCATTTGACGAGGTCTTTGCCAGATTCGGGAATCCCGAAGTGCTAGTCACCGATAACGGCAGTCAGTTCAAATCAGCAAAAGTCAAAAATTTCTGTCAACCTCGTGGTATTCGACAACTGTTCTCAGCGCCTTACCACCAACAATCGAATGGACAGGCGGAGCGATTTGTCGATACACTAAAGCGAAGTCTGAAGAAATTACAGGGGGAAGGAACGGTGACGGAAAACTTACAAAAGTTTTTGGTACGTACCGAAATACCCCGAGTTCAGCATGTCCTGGAACGAAGTCCCCAGCTGAGATTCTCCTCGGACACAAGCCAAGAACACCGCTACGCTTACTCATTCCAAGCGAACGGGTCGAGAAGGGCCAAGATTCGGGTTACAAATCGAGAATGAAATCGGATTTCGATAGACACCACGGAGCCCGACACAGACAATACTATCCCAAGGAGAAGATCTATGGAACCATTCACGAACGCAACAGTCGTAGATGGGCCCCAGGCATCATATTAAGCAGCAAGGGAAATACGATGTACGAAGTCGAAATGGAGGGTGAGACGCATACGCGTCACGCCAACCAGCTTAAACCAAGGTATGCCATCATCGAACCCACACCCGATGTATCGTGGAATCAGTTCGGCCTACAGCTGGCACTGTCGCTGCCTTGTTTCCCGCGGGAAGGAGAAGATGCTTTTCCCAAACAAGAAAGTCATCCAAACAGTTTTCAACTCCCGATCGAGGAGGGCGAATCTCCCCTAGCGGAACACAGTGGCCCAAGTAATATCTCCACCCGGCAGCCGAGTCGAGACAGCTCGATCACCTCGGGTAGCTCCAGCGATTCCAAAGAAGAATACGATGTGGAAGACATGTCGATCTCCTTCGCGGAAACTGAAGACCCGGAAATCGGAGAACTCAGCGGACTGTTGGAAGCCCTACCACCCGGAGAAAGAGAAGCGGGTCCAAGCACTCCCTTGCGCACCGAGGGGCTTCCTCGAAAACGTGAGCGTCGCCCGCCACTGAGACTGCAGATCACTCACCGGGCCGTCAAACGCTACATGGAAAGACGTAGTCCACCGAAGCGTTCGACTGGGGGAGGTGTAGCGGTATGCGGAAAGCGTTCAGCGCCACCAATGACCCCTTTTATGAATGTGAGAGACAGACGGCGTGCAGACGCTCCCACTGGTCAATAATAAATTCATTCCGTAGTTAGCCGTTGGCGACGTTAGACGAGTGTTCTCCTTCTCTATACTCATAGTCTGAGGTACAAGGGAAAACCCGGTAAATCCGCAACAATTTCAACGGTGGCGTCAGCGGCGGTGACCGACTTTACTACGGATCGGGCTTTTTTCAGGCGAATTCCGTCGATGGGAAATAGAGGACGAGGAGGAGGAGGAGGAGAGAGGAAAAACTCAATCCACCTCGTAAAGTGAGTGTGTCGTGGACGTTTTGTCTCGCTGGCTCCTCTGTTGAGTCCCGTCGACAGAAAGGCCGATTTGAGAAGCTGCTCTCGTGTTCGTCTTTCTCACCTGGAAATGCGGGCTGGATCGAACGGCGGCGCTCCACAGGCACGCATCCAATATACGCTAGCGCGCTGCGAAGTCTACTCGCACATTGCGCCGACAGCTGCACTCACCTGCGCCTACCTGTCTGCCTTCGGGCTGTGAAAAGAAGGTTAACCCCTCGAAAAGAAGCTTCCGACCCGACAGTCCCAGCCAACGAACGAACAAACGGATATATTATATTTTCGCGACGGCCGTTGTGGTTTTTTTTTCTTTAATAAACTGTTCGTTCCGCATCGAACATATTGAGGAGGAGAGCCCCGGCGGGGGCGAGGGAGGGGCGTGAGGGAGCTCACCGAGCGCACATCGGAGCGTGAAGTGCGGCGGCGGAGAAAGTGCGGCCGAGGTATGCTTCATTTATTTTTGGAGACAAATCCGACTTTCTACTTCGCAAACGTGTTGTTGCTATCTCCTTCGACCGCCAATGTCTCTGGAGGGAGAGCGACGACCGCAGACGGAGGGGCAGGAAAACTCGTCCGCCAGCAATGTAGGTGGGTGTTTGTCCGGAGGGATGACCCTTTTAGTTTTGAAAAATCATTCGAACAAACTTCGCTTTCTCGAGGCCACCTTCGGCGGAACCAGATAAGTCTCCAATGGTTGGACCGCGGACGGGAGATTGGAACATCTATTCCAAGCTCTGGCGTGTCCAGTGTCCGAGGCTTCGACCCCGACCATCGGACTCCTTTGAGAGCGGTCGCAGCCGCCAAAAAGACTAACTCGGATTGAGGTGAATTATTAGCCCGGTGCCCACGCAAGTCGTCCGCACGCACACCTCCCGACGTGTCCGAGCACGGTAGAGATGTTGAATTTTCGTTGCCGACATTATTAAAAGAGTTGTCTCTCCAGGGACCCATGGCGACTCGGCTCCCGTTTCCCATGTTCTCCGGGGAGCCAGAGGACCTATCGCTAGACTTCCCGCCGTGATCGGGATTTCCTCCTCTCCCCGTCCCCTTTGATTTCAACTCATCCGTAGAGCAGGTGCTCGTGAGAGGATCATTTCGGAGATGAGTGGGGAAAATAAAGATTGACCTTCTGGGACCACGACGGTCCATCGGGGTCGGTAGACGCCGCACAATTGACCGACCGATGGGTTGTCCTCTGCCATCGGCCAACTTTGAATCTATCGTGACACAGAATTCCCATTCATTAGAAGTCCATTACTACAGTATCAATTGCGGAGGACATGTTGGCTGGGTAGAACGACGGATCGTCGGACCAATGGGGGGACTGCGACGACATTCGACCGAATTGACAGCTCCGTTGAGAGCTTGTTGAGGAAAATGCCCGTATACGTATTCCTCTCGATCATGGCTCGACAATGCCCATTGCTCGACGCGCTTGTCAACTTGGACAAATCTCCGCAGAGGGAGATTCGTAAAACGCCACGGACACGGGCTGATGAATAAGCAATAAGAAAAATCCGTCTCTCGCTACCGCGGAATCCAGTGACAAAAATCTTCCTATCAAGCGACACGAACAACAATAACAGGCGCGACAGAAGAGAACGCATTGCAAACAACGCGAACGGATAGAGTTTACAGCTGAATGCGCCCCGCGTCGCGAGGGAAGGCACCGTTCACGGCTGCGATGACGACGTCGCGGCGGTATGGCGGTAAGAACGACAACTACAATGGCGAGCGAGCAACAAAAACTGCACCATATACAGTGGTGGCAGCGAGTTGTCGGAAATTCGGGAGTTTTTAAGATTGTTGACGAGGATAGAGCCGAGAGGGTTCCTTCGACGGCGCTCGAGTTCGGCGAGCTGGACGGATTGATAATTTATTTACAGGCAAAGAGACGCCGGCCGGAAAGAACCGGCGTGAATTTTTTATATGGGACGCTCTCCTCCGTCTCGCCGCCTCGCTCCCGCTTCTGTCTCTCGCCATTCGGCTTCTCCTCTTCTAAGACGCTCCACCTCGTGCGCTGCCCCCAAGACCCCCGTCCCATTACCGCGCTCGAATCCGTATGTGCAATACATGTCCGCGATGCTCCGGATCGTTTGCCGTTCTCGTGGTGTCTCTGACGGATGTCCACGCATTTTCGAGCAATTCAATAATGCGCCTTCTCCAAGAGATTTAAAAGAAAGACTACGACCGTCGATTGACCAAAAAGTGTGTGAAGAAGCAGACAGAAAGCGGCGAGGAAGCTCTCCCCGGAACCAGGGAGGGCGGGCGGCCCGCGGAATGCTTAACCGATCCGCCGATCGGCCTTACTGCTCAGCAAATCAGCGAATGCGGAAGTGCGGTCGACAAACTTGCGTTAATCAACCTCCGGAGAGGAGCTGCATGAGAGCCATTTGCATCGTGATGACGGAGCATATTTTCACTCGACTTGTTGACAGGATCACAAAAGAAGCAAGGAATCACGCGGGCGAAGAAATAGCTCGGAGCGAAGGACGGAGCATCGTGCCCTCCGCGCAGTTCGCGAGGTGGCCACATTTGATCGCGGGCGATCTCTCCAAAACCGATTCCTCCTCTCCGATCATCTCCCCAAGGAAAAAGTAGGAGCGGAGAGCGCCGATTCCGCGCTCCCAGTCCAGAACGCGCCGCGGCAGGGCTGATGACGTGAAGACACGATGCTGCGGCGATAATGCTGAATTCCGGGAACGCAACCCGCGAAATGGCCTTCGAGATAGATGGGTCGTAATTCGAAAAAATGTTGGATAATCATATCAGCCCGCAGGTCCGCGGCAACGCCGCAGCGGGATCCATGCGCGGAACATCCGGGAAAATTCTCAGGACGGCCCGAGATCCACCTGATCGAAATTTTGTTGGACCCATTTCCAGAGAACGCCTCCCGGAAACGTAGAATATGCGTGATGTGGTGATGGGTTGGGTGCTCATGGATTCTTCATCCGCGCATAAATCCTGCCCGAACGAATTGTTCGCATCCAGGACCCTCCCGCTCTTCTAGTAGAAGCCGCCCACTTATATTAGATAATCCATGTAGGTCCAAGATTCGGTGATGTCGAAATCGATGAGGGTCTCGAGGAGCTCCGCTCGTCTGGATTTCATGCAGACGGCGATTAGCATACTTATCGAAATCTTTCGTAATCTCGACTTGGGCCTCCAGCATCGTCCATCAGCCCTTGCTTACAAGTCCTAGGGTCGTTGAGCGGCTCCCCATGATTCCGGCGGAAACCTCATCGATCAGTTCCTCATTCAATCTCACTCCTCAGCCGAGAGCCCCGGGTTGTTTCCACAAGATATCTAGACTTGTCTCTTCCATGAAGCTCGGGGCTGGAGCATGCTGTACGGGATCGGTTGAACAGAGGATGGGGCCGAGTTTATTCCCTGTGTTCCTACCGCCCTCCCCCAGCGCCCCGTGAGCATCCCATCAGCTTTCGCCGTCTCCGTTCAAGGCCAAGCTCCATCCGAAAAAAAAAGAACCATCGTCATCATCACTCTGTGTGACTTTTCCGTAGATCAATGCCATCTGTCCCTTAATCTGGAACCAGGTCTGCCATAACTTCCCAAGCGTCATCGAGCGGAACGCCGTCTAATTCCGTCGCCGTTCGGTACGTCACCTCCCTAAGGCTGGACAGCTAGAATCGACTGAGATGACGGAGAATTCCTTCCATCCATCTAGCCAAAGATGGTCCCCTGAACAAAGAGCATCGAGAATGAGAAACGACCGACGTGGATATAAGTCGACGCGATAAGATCTCATGGATGGAGACAATGCTTTGCCTCAGTGAGCAGTCGGTTCCCGTGCACAGCATCGGCGCAACTGACGGCTTGGCGGACTCCAGCTCAGCCATATAACACAAAGACCTATGTAGGACATATCATAGCCCCAGTTACGCCCTCCATTAGCTCTGGTGGACAAGCACTTGATTTCTCCAACGCTGGTACGTGGCAGTAGGGAGAGCTAGTGCTTGTCTATATGGGCCCATCAAGTTCATCGATCCCGGCTTGTTTCACGACTGGAAGGAATGGGGCTCTGCCAAGACATCTATTCAGTTCGCTTCTCGGTCATTCTCAGCGTCTTGAACCCTATCCATTGACGGAGTCGGCTTGAGCTACTCCTCGCAAATTATTCCACTTGGAAGCTCAAACGGGAAGTACTCATTCGCTCGCACTGCGCGACGGAGATGTTGTTGACCGACGATCAATCGCAGTGTTGTCCTGTCGTTCTGTTCAGATCCATTGCAGCTTCAGATTATTGACCTCTCGGCCTGCGAGGACGCTCGTCCAATGCAGTTCGATCGCTCCGACGCAAAGGAGTGGTATCGCGAAGCGGCGCCGGCGCCCTGTCGAGCAACAGGATCTTTCACCGGACTTGCCTTCTGTATGAGGCCCAGCCACGATGATTCTGCTCCGTTCCCCTCCTCTGACCGACCGGGAGAAGAATTTTTCGTGATCTATGTAGTATCTCCCAAATGCTCACACGATCTTTTTGTTTTAGGAAAACTGCGGCCCAGCTCATCCTTTCGTTGTCCAGAAAATCCGGTCGAAGGTCTGCGCATATTTCCCGAAGCTCATTCCATGCCTCCTTGCGGTCAGATTCCGGAAAGCTCTCCCTAAATTACGGGTTCGGCCATCTCATTTCCCGGGATACGTATCAAGAAAAGGATCGCGAAGAATCCTGCGAACAACGAAGCAAGTTCGCGTGCAAGCAGCCGAAACAGACAATTAGGTTCAAAAACAGCAGACCCACACGAAACGCGAACGAACCACCTCTGCCCTTCAGGGCCTCATTTTTTCTCCCCTGGCTGCCGAAACCTTAATTCCTCCTGTCAGTTTCGGACCAAATCTCAAGCCGATTCCACTACTGAGTTCCGGGAAGCCTCGAGGTATCTTCACGCGGGGGAAGGAGAACGTCTGGTGAAGACCATGTTTCTCGCTCAGTCCTCAAGATGCCCATGTCCCGCACGGGCATTACCTAAAACTTTCCTCGGATGAATTGTGAGTCAAGATCGAGCTTCTGAGAATCGTGGATTTAGCTCGAATGAGAGCCGGGGATTTATTTTCTACAAGCCTTAAAGTCGAACAAGAATCACGGACCGCTGTGCTCCCACCACCGAAACATTCCTCCACAGCGAGGCGAAAATCGCTTTTCGATTCAGACGGTATCGCGCTCTGGGCATTTCTCACAGTGGTGCTATCGATTTCCCTCGCCATTCTGATTCTCTCTGTCTACTTCGTGAGGGAAAAACGACCTCCAGGACTTGAAGCATCGACGACAGCTTGAAGTTGCGAGAGCAAGCCTCTACCGGAGTTGATTTCGCATATCGCGCCTGGGGTGCTATTATTTGTCAATATTGGCCAATGCTGCCGAGGTAGCCGCCGCCGCTTAGGAATGAGTCCGTCATGGCGGGAATTTCAAGGAGTCCGCGACAGTCCCGATTCGCGGCCGACAGTTTGAGATGAAAATGGTTTCCCCACCCATTTGACATTACCACTCGCGCAGGCAGAGAGGGAGTTCGGTACAGAGGGACGCCTCCGGAAAAATAACTTGGCATTTGGCTAAATTAGTGATTCCCGAGGAAGGCTACGAGCGGCCCTGGCAGCGCCGAGGACTCGTGAGCCACCTTTTGTGGAAGATCTTGCGACGGCTTTGCGCGTTAGAATCAGCTCTGAAGTTGACAGATAAGTCGGAGCGAGACAAGAATATTTCTCGAATTGATCCTTCACCCATACCTGGACCCATCAATGCGGGACCCATATCATCATGGGAGTCCCCTTCTCGATGATGGGTCAGAGAATTCCCCCGGAGATAAGTTCCCCCGGAGCACTGTGGGTGAAGCGATTCCTTTGACCAGAATCTGAAGGTGCAACACCGACCTCGGTGAGAAGTTCGAGTCCCAGAGGAGGAACCGACGGATCCGCTCGGAGATTCTGGTCCCCACCAGGAGAATCGTGAAGTCTGTCAGGAATCGGAGCTGCTAACCAAGGGAGTCTGAGCCGGCATTATTGACTCTGAGACACCTCACCAAAATGGACCGCCTCGGGAGGAGAAGCAAACATTTCGATCGGTCGAGTGGCTCAAATTGTACGAATTTTTCCAAACGTGACGCGGGAGGAAGAATGACTCGATGAACTAAAGACGAGCAGAGCGTCCTCCCTGAGCCCTGTCATACTGTCTGTTCAGTTGAGTGTCTCCTCGATCGAATGGATTCAAACCACGTGCGGGAAACTTTGCACGCAAACTTGTGCGACCCCGCGCCTGCGGTCATGGGATAACAGAGCCCTGGGAACGAACAAGAGAATGCGCATTGAGTCGGAGCTCTCTTACGCCTCACAATCGCAATCCAAGGGCAAGAAGTTGAGATATGCACTGCTTCCTCAGTGAATAATACCCTCACCCGCTGTCTCGTCAGACTTTCGCGATCTTCCCCAATATCTTCCCCTCGCAATTATCATATTTCACGCAGCTAGACGGACCTATCAGCTTTAGCGAGCGTTCCCGATTCCTGGCGATTTCCTTCGCCTGCCAAAGAGCCTGAAACTCCCTTGTTCCAACCGGGAGCCACAACGATAGCCGAGAAGAAAACAGAGATGGAATACGTGCGCTCGCGGAGATATGTTGGATCGATGCGTGAATTCCGCGCGATGCAAGCCTGTCGACTGGCCTATCGGTCTGCCTGCCTCCGGCACGAGGAACCGGCGGGCGGGCGGACCGGTAAATCTTCGGAAAGCTCCGCGCCTCCGTACGAGAGCGCGGAACGGAATAGCACGAAAGAGTACCCCGTCGTGACAGAAACGATTCATTTCTCTCATCCGCTTTCTCCGTCCCTCTCTCTCTTCGACGAAAACCTCTGAATTACTTCGATTGCTTCCTTTTGCTTGCTGTTGACAAAGATGGAAAACTCCCGCTCGAGTGGATCGCTGCCTCCGCACAGCTCTCTCTACTGCAGCCGCACGAGGACATACCTCTTGTCCTGCGATCTGTCTGTGCGTACGCGAGTCTTCAACGAGCCGGGGAGCCCAAGTGACTGTTGCTTGCTTTTTGATCGAAGCCTCGAGGGATTGAGGAGAACCGCTGGGAACGACTCGTTGCTTGACGTAATTAACGAAATTCAATGAGAATCACAGCCGTGATCTCATTCATTACCGATGCCGATCTTCACCGAGCGGCACCGGCGTTCGCGGCGCCGACGTCAAAGCCAGAAGCGACACTGAAGGGGAGCGGACCGTCTTAAGTTTGCAGAAATCGGCGCTGTCCGATGTCACGCGTTGATACTGCGATATCTTCCGTCCGCTTGACCGCATCATCGGCTCGAGCTCAATAATTCAATGACATACGTCGACGACGATCTTTTCATCTTACGTTGCTCGTTCCTGACTTCGATGTGACAATTCGTTCAAGGGCCTCGATTTGAGGACTCGAGAATCCAGTTCTCCCCGAGATGACCTCGTGATTGGAGCTCCTGCGAGAATGGCGGAGCGTGAGGCTCGACGACGGCTCAGAAGGAAAATTCCACGGCTGGGATTTCCCGTCGGAGCCTGGACCTCGGAGAGACTCCTTGACTGAGACGCTCTCCATACGGAACTTGGGGGATCCCTGCGTCCGCTGACACTGTCTCATATTCATGACAGCCTTACGGTTCCGCGGAAGGAGAGATTTCCAACGGGAGAGTATCTCTCCGCCGGACTCCTCATAATGTGCCTACCTCTGTGAACTCTTGGCAGGGCATTCTATCACTCGAAATCTCTGTTGAGACCTCGTCGTGAGCTCGCTCTGATATGCATCCCGAGTTGCTTCGCTCCAGGCTGCATGAGTCTTGCTCGGACTGAAGCCTCGAAATCTCATTCATCTCCCAACGGGTCACTGAGCCTCCATTAGAGACGTCTCAGTGGATGAATCACGACTTCGAATGACAGGAGATCGGACGAATTCAGATCGATGCGCAATCGACCTGGGCAGAGAATACAAGCGATCGATGCTAACAACGGAAACAATAGCCGCCGGAGCGAAGCGTCGTCGATTGCGAGGGGCGCACGGTGAATGAGCGTTTCCCTGGCCATCCAACAACGGGAATGTTGGCGTCGTAAATCCTCGTTGAGCTCCTCATAACCCGTCCTTTACTGCTGCCGCCGCGTTCGTTCTTACTCGTCAGAGTCGTAACTCGTCTTTAGTTATTCTCATGTCGGTCTTTCCAGTGGGATCCGTCGGTGCGGGAGCTCTCACGAGTAGTCTACAGGTTCACTTGGATATGGAGCGCATCCGCCCAACGAGACTTGAGGAATAGGAATCAAGCGATGAATAAATGAGAAAATTTCGAGTGGGTGCTCGAATCACTGGGAGCTCCCAAACATTCACAAGTGCAGCTCGTCAACCTCGCCGCTCGGACTGAGTGTATGCCGCTTTTGTCCGATGAATAGATGCGTCAACAGTCGGAATCGGAGTCCATGGAGCTTCAATCTCCGGCGTCAGAAATTTGAAATTCTCGCCGACTGCAGGCTCGGATGGTACGATAGGTCGGATTTCAAGAGAGTGACCGCATCAGACTCTATCCGTACTTACATCTTCGTATTTTGGCACCCATCGGTGCGGCGGGGCTTACTGTAATTAGCGAAGTGTTTCTCGACTCGTCGAGGAGACAGAATCAGACAGAAAAATGAATGGTTTGAAAACGTTCCTATTAACCAAGTCTATGGTGTGAGTGTAAGAGATTGCACTTCGAGAAAAAAATGGGCATTTCGACCTTCTGGATGGCAAGCCTTCCCAGGAAGATCATCCAGAACGATCGAATCAATGCAGGATATTTTCCGCAATCCGGGACTAGGTACATTTTTCGAATACTCGCCAAGCTCAGCGAGATCAGCCTAAGTAACGGGACGACGGATTCTCTCAAGCAGTTTCTGTATAGATTGACGGATCAACAGCCGTTCTACCGAAAATCTGCTATTGACCGATTTCGCTCTCGCTCAGTCCGATAGGGGACTTCCCTGCGGTTGGGTCCCCGACAACTAGGACTACAGGGGAACGTCCCACGCTTCAAAGACAAAAAGTATCAAAGCCGAGATACGTGGAAGAGGAATAACTTCATTTTTCCCCTGATCCAGTGAAGATGAGTTCCTTCATCGGAAACAAGAAACAAGGTTCCGTGACCTTCAAAACTTCCCACGGGTCTATGATCGCGTCCCCAAGACTCTGGCTCGGAGAGCCCCCCTCAAGCATCGGCGCGAAGATAAGCGGTGTCCGGAGCGAGGGACCCACCGACTTCGTTTACGCACCGAGTCCGTGCCCCACGACGTGACTTCCCCGGTGTTTACTCTCCGTCGTTTTCGCCGATCTAATCGCCATAGCTTCCACGCTGATAAGATTCTGCGATGCTCCCTAAACGAATGCGTATTGGATTGGGAATCACGAGATGCTCTGTAAAGAACTTCCAACTCTAGAAACTCACCTGAATCGTACAGTGTTCCTGTGAGAGGTGGAAGTGTTGTTGTTGGCTGCGAGTGAGCTCATTGCTGTCGTGCTTGATGACGAATCGCCTGTGGGCGGTGTCGCGGTGTCCGTTGAGTTATCGGGATGATTACTGGCACACTGGTTGAAATTGTTAGCGATGTTGTTCGAAGTGTTAAGTGGATCTGCACTTGAAGGTGTCAAAGTTGTCGTGATGAGCTTCGTGTCCTCGATGGAATCGGTCCGGCTTTGCAGACTCTGGGCTGCTAAATCTGTTGCGGTTTGATTATTTGTCGATGTCGTCGGCGTCGTCGTGATTGCTGTTGACGATGCAGTTGGGGGTGCTGTCGATGATGTTACATGTTGTTGATGTTGCTGATGTGTCGATTCGTTGTCGTTTTCCATAGGCACTGGTTGAAGTGTGACTAGCGGAGCCACGGAGCTCAGCGACGAGCGGTGAGGATGTCGGAAGGGAGCCCAAGACTCCCACTGCGTCGGTCCCAACGCCAGATGGGACGCGGACAAGACTTCGTCGAGGCAACCGTGACTCCGGCTGTTCCCTCCGCCTCGAACGGCGGGATTCTGTTGGTTGCACAGTGAACTCAACTCGCTGAGGTTCCTGTTGCACGCTGCTGTGTTGAAGAGCAAGTGGTCTACGCTTGTCGCCGAGTCGCCTCTGGCTCCCGGCATGCCACGATTTTGGTGAAGCAGGTGATGATGGAGGTGGTGTTGCAATTGTTGTTGCTGTTGGCAATGGCATTCGCCAGCGTCGACGGATCGAGAGGATTTCGAAGTCGTATTGAAGATTTCTCGCCGACGCTTGTGATCTCGGGCGCAAGCGAAACTTGCGGGGCAGCCCTGACCAGACCGCAGGTTTTCATGGGAGCTGAGGACGGCGCATTTATTACACGACGAGGACAGGGAGGACAGGGCAGGGTGGGCTGCGGTTGAGGCAGGAGGCTCACTAAGCGGACTAGCAAGAGGATTTGGGCTCCGTTGCTGCTGCTGCTGCTGAAGCTGCAAACACGAGTTCAGGGAGTTCTGGCTGTGCGCTGAAGAAATGATCGGTTGCTCGAGTAATGAGGATACGGAGTCCTTGCAGGGACTCAATGGCCGGCTCATGGAAAGTGCGCCCGCTGCTGAAGCTCCTGTAGATGCTGCAATCGATTGTACCGTATGGGACTGTGATGTTGCAGGCAGGTGTGCAGTTGCTGCAGCTGCCGCTGCAGACGTTCTTTCGGCGGCTGCAGGTGTCGGTACGCTCGGCGAGTGGCCCCGAGCGGCGGCATGGTTCGAAGCCATTGTTTTTGGACTGGATGGCTGGTTCAATGGCCCCGGTGACGTCATCAGTTCACTTCCCGTATGTTGCTTTAGGTCGCTGGTAGTCAATAATACGTCGTGCTCTCGCTGTTGGAGGACACTTGTTTGTTTTGTGTATTTGCTTGTTCTCATAAGGTGCTTTCTCTAGGAGGTTTCTCTGGTGGTGGATGGTGTTCTTCAGTCAGTTCTCTTCTGGCTGTGATCTCTCGTTACGTTTCTTTCGACGGCAAGATAGTCGATTGTAACACAGGTGTTCTTCTTCCTCGACTCGTATATATCAATCAAAGTTATGTATGATTTTTCTTTCCGAAGTCAGATCCTCTCGAACTTAAGCTTGGTGGTTGTTCGTTTAGTTCTCGCTCCGAGGTACTCGAGTTGATCTCGATGAAGGCTCGACGCTTCCTTTGAATAAGGTCTTCCTGAACCTCGGCTTTCCTCTGCTAACAGAAGAAATGACTTCGGGAGTATTGAGTGATTCCTCAGTACCCTCTCTAACTCCGCAAATGTGGTAAGGTCTTCGTGATGTGGACATTGCCTCTCGTTCCCCGTTGTGATACAATTATCGTCTCTGTTGAATCACTCATTCCTACAGGTGATTCCCTCGTAGTGTCAAGTCTCAACCGGCGTTCGGCCGGGCGAATCTCCGTCGGCGTTTCATGTCGAGAATTTTCTCAGTAGCGAGCTTCTAATGCGAGTGACATCTGCAATCTCCTGGTCGGAAGCATCCGACACGCCTCTCCTGGAATGAAGATTCGAGAAGTTTAGAAAAATTCGCTGCCTGACACTGATCAGCCATCTAGGATAGCGCACAAGAAATCGCGTTGCCCTTTCTCTTCGGAAGGGAGGAAGAACAGAACTCCAACTCTTGATCTCAGAAGTCCCTATGAAGTCCTAATGAAACACGTTCTCCGGGTTTCATGCGCTCAAAAAAGGATGGCGACGACATAATAGTGGAACTACATAGGAGAGCCGGCATCGAACGATATCGATCGACGTAATTCGCTGACAACCCGATCGGTCAAGCTGTGGTGATTCCAACACTAGATTTTACCACGACGCGACATCAGAGGCAGCATTGTTAGCATAGAATTGTTCGTCTTCTCGAGCGAGCAAAGGATTGGTGGTTCTGAGGAGTTTCACGACTCCGGAGGATGGCCGGATCCTGGAACTCGTACTCGACGACATCCGGAATCCTAATAAGATGCGTATGGGGAAATCGAATTCAATTCTGATATGCAATCTTTGTGGAGTGACAGTCCTCTTAATTAGCCTGGTCCGGGAGCTCCTTCAAAATTCCCTCTCCGTAATGAACCAAGTTCTCTGTGGGGACAAGCAAGTGACCTAAGTGGACTGAACGTCTCGCGAATATTTGCATAGCCGCAACGACCTTGTCTCGAGCGGATCAGCTTGAATTAGCCGGGAGCCGGCTACTTCTGCGTGAACCGGAGGTGCTTCCCGTTCTTCCATCAAACCCCCGGTCAGGAGAAGATTCCGAGACAGCCGACCAGATTAAGGGGCAGGACTTGGCCTGAATCAGTTTTTGCGACGCACGAGGGACCGCAACAGGAACTCCGAGTCTGGATCGGGGAACAAATGACGTGGAAATAAAGAACTTCGAATAGATGCGTCCGTGACAAGTCGCACATCCTTCCGAGGCAGACCTCCTGTCTCGGGGCCGCATTCTGGTGCCGTGTTGAAATAATTAGACCATCGAATCTCTGAGGGCAGCTCCCGATGAGAGCTCGAGGTAGGTTTCGCAGAATGCAAGCGAGCATCGCGCGGACCTTCATATCTATAATATTTTCCACGATTTTTCTACCTATAGTGTTTTCCAAAATGAGACGATAGGCTCCCCGAACGAGGACTCCTCGCCGTCTCGGATCCATTACAAGCCGCGACTTGTTTTCGGTCACCTCCTCACGTCCTGGTGGGCAACCTTTGCCCTTCCCGATCAATCGATCCCCACGCTTCGACTCTACTCCGGCGACACCAGGTTCAAGCGACATAATTTCTGATGATTGGCGAGCTTCGAGCGGATTCGGCCCGGGCAGACAGAGCCCAGACAGGGACCTCTGTGTGTGAGCTATGGGTCATTGGGTCCATCGAATCGACTCAGGGGTTTCCATACACATATATTGCGAGAGATAAAACACAAGAATCCTATTTGCAGCGCTCAAATCATCTGTCCTGACCAGTCAAACACTCGTCCGCCGAGGAACTCACTCCTACGTACTAGAATTCAATTCAATGGGCCAAAGATGCAGCTAGACCTCATGGCTCTCGATGTCGTCTCGACGAATGATCGACGGAGTTCGACATCCGTGCTATGAAAGGGTAGGCCGGAAGCTTATTGTTTCGAATCGTGGGAGCCTCGTCCATGCATTCCTTCGATTCCTTGGACACGGTGAGTTTCGGCATCCCGAGTGGGTCGCGGCTTTTCGGATAACCTCGATGTGGGCCACCGTCCAACCAAAGTAAATTACCTGCCTGACCCGCTGGCGAATCGTACACCAAGAGCTCTCTACTCGGTCAGTCGAGGTTGAGGAGCTAGTTCCCTTGCTCCTGCAAAGACACTCCCGAGTGTCCGTCCTCCGAGGAATAATTCAACTGTCCAATAAGAACTCGTCCACCATCGAGATTACGTCCGATCGCATCGGCTAGCACTTCGCAGAAAGATTGTCGAAATGATCATGGAAACACGTCGGACACGTTCGCTGCCTCTCTGTGTGGAGCTATTTTCGTGCGAGATTGCCCGTAGTTCGACTCGGCGTCTGTGTGCGCTGTAGTCACCGTCGCAACAGCCATCATGACTGCAAGGATTCCTTGGCAGGAACCATGTTCCCGGACTGCATGGAACATTCTTGCTTCTCGCGTGCGTAGCAAACAGGGTCGTAAACGACAAAACTCACTCCTTCCCGACGAGCTTCTCTGCTTCGTATTGAACAGCAGGTCCTGTTTCCCTTCGCCATGGACGACAGCAACTGAGTAGGAAGACCAACGGCGACTCTAGGTTTTCATCCAGGCATGCCTTACAGGTGGATTTTTGTTTCTCTTGTGCGGGAGCACGAAGTCGAAAAGCGAAACTTCTCCGGCCGGAATTACCGGCGAGAACGCGAGTAAATGCGTTCTGGCCCCTGAGTGTGAGAAGGAAAGTCGAGTCTATCGAAGCCGTGATGAGGACTGCGTCGTACGAGCGAAGTTTTGACGGATAGTGAAGGCTCGGAGCTGGGATGCGAGACCCCTGCGATATCTCAGGTACGACCGACCGACGCACGATGCGCGATACTCCGAGTTTTTTTTAACGAATATTAATGACTAGGTCGGTGCATCGGTGTGTTTTGATGGACTACACGAAATTATGAGCTACCTGCGATATTGGGAGCAGGACCCCATCAGAAACTCGGATCCCCGGGACGCGAGCGTACATTTTTCCCACCGCCTGGTGAGAGATCGCGAAAGCATGCTACGTTGTCCATGGTTTCGCTCACAAATCGAAGGAGGGGCATCGATCTAGAAAGAGTCAGAATAGCGGAGCTCAGATACTCTCTAACACCTTCACCCGAGAGCCCGTGCCCAAGCACCAGGAGGAAATGCGGTGGCTCGTATCTTTCTCGAGCGGAAAACATCCAAAGCAGAGCTACGGCGGACATAAATAAAAAAGATTGCGGACGCAATAAATTACGAGAATTCCATACAATGCTTCATCTTGTCTCGTCGAGACGAGAACAGGTTGACGTCGTTGTATCCCGTGTTGGGCGCGTCGTAAATTCTCTTAACGACCGTTTCGACGCTATTTACTCTGAGCGATCGCCACTCGACGTTGAGTATTACCAGTCGATGCTCGTTCTTGTGTTTTCGTTCCCGACAAAGAAAACTCTCAAGAGCCGCTCCGGGCCATGAGCTGGACGGCGAGTCAAGATTCAACGCAAGGAGCAGCGCGGGGATCACGCTTGCGAGTTCGGGTAGCTTGCCGAAGACAGCCAGCCTGGTGTACGTCAGTCTCGTCGTCGCATGTGAAACCATCTCCTCGTCGTCTCGGCCCAACACATCGTCTCTATCTCGCGCCAGGGATAGCGGGACGGACACGGCCGGCGCTTCGCTACCTATATCCGAGTTCACTTCGATAAATTGACTTATGATTGGATTGCTGCAGGATAAGCTTTTAATCTCGAGAGCAGTAAGAAGGTGTGGCAGAATCACAGTCACGTTTCCGTGCAGATTCGTGTACATAGTATGCAGGACCTAAGTGTGTATCTGTCCCTCTGCACTCGCAGCAATGACCACTGCGGTCGGTTCCTCAACGATCTAGCAGAAACAGAGTTCCACAACTTCCACGAAATTATGGCGATTTCCTCCAAATGACGTCTACGCGGGGCTCGGACCAGAGCTCGGGGAATTACTCACGGTTCAGTCGCCGCGGTCGACGGATCTCGACACCCGAGCTCGAACGCGGATTTCGAATTCGATTCTCCAGGGATACTCCCGACCGGTTTACTTCCGCGAACGTGTTATTCGCGCACTGAGAAGTTCGTAATTGATTCCAGGGAGTCATTTATCTTCGCAATAGTCGATGCTCATCCTGATACCAAATCAGAGATGGTCGCCGATCGTTGCATCTCTCTCTTCGGCAATCGGAGCAGATCAAGGAAATCTCACTACGTCCAGACTGCGTACCTGTGTAGGTACTTTATATCGCCCATCGCCAACACCTGTTCGGAGTGTGTTCTCCTCTCGCGTTCCGCCTGACTTGGAAACATATCAGACTTTCCGCAGAGACATGGACGCAGAAGATCTGGCGGGAGCCTTGTATTCGCCAAATCGGCTACGTGACGCAGGGACTCACTGGTGTTCATTGGACGGTGTATCGAGCATCAGAGTGTAAATATCGGGAACCAGCGGTTCGGAAGAGGGAAGGAAAAAACTTGCTGGACGAACTCGGAGAGGAGGCGCAGATAGTTCTTGGAATCGA